CCCTAAACCCCCAAATCCCTAAAAACCCTAAACCCCAAAATCCCCAAACCCCGAGACCTAAACGCTTCAGGTCGCCCCTGAACTCTCACCGGCCGCTCTTGCAGACATCCTTTGGGGTTTAGGGCGTAGGGGGTTTAGGGTTCATAGAGGGGGTTTAGGGTTTATAGGGTTTGAAGGCTTAAGGTTCAGGGTTTAGGGGCTTTAGGGTTTCAGGGTTTAGGGTTTAGGGTTTAGGGTGCGTTGGCGTAAATATGTGGCAATAGCACGCCTTCGGGTGTACCGCAGCATTGCGTTGAGCTGCTCTGGCCCGATGGTGGTGAAGCCACTGCCACCCAAACCTATTCCTTTTCGGGTTTAGCTCTAAACTCATTCTATGGCTTTCTTCTTTCTTTCAAAATCGTTCTTGAGGTACGCAAGAGGGAGGGCAGGGCAGGTAGGGCAGTCAGGGCAGGGTCAGGGGGGGCCAGGGGGGCCAGCAGGGGGGGCCAGGGCCGGGCGGCCAAAGGGTCAGGCGGGTCAGGGTGCCAAAACTGCGAGGGCAGGAAGAGCTTGTTGGGGTTTTTCGAGTTGTTGCTTTAATCGGGAGCAAGGGCGGGACGTGGGTGCTACCGTCCCCATGGCTGTGGAAAGGCGGGCAAACGTATTGGATTGCTCTGCGCCATCGAGATCGAGGGGCTTACGCGCCGCCCACCCACGGAGGTGGGCGGCCTATGTGGGGTCAATCGAAGCAACTGACCATCCTTGCAGGCCCCGAAACTCTCCTCGCTACAGTCTCAAATTCCCAAATGCCCCCTAACATAACATCTTCTACAGCCATTGCAACCTGAAAAAAGACTCCGAAGCCCCAAGCACCACCCGAGAAGCCGCGAAGAACCCTCCAACCCTAAATCCCAAAGGCCTAAACCCAAACCCTCAAACCCCCATGACTCGTAGTCCCTTTTGTCTTGTTGCTCCCTTAAGCCCCTAAGCTCGTAGACCCTTTGCTGTTTCGGCCAATCCGAGGCAAAGCTTCGAAGAGCCCCGCGTCCGACCCCCTCCGAGCCTGACCTCCCTTGACGAGGAGATGCCTGGCGGCATGGAGAGGGGTGGAAAGGGGAAAGGAGGGGTCCTTTTAAGGGTACCAGATGGTTTTGTGACAGGGTCCTCAATTTAAGGGTACTACAGGGTTCTATAACCGGTGACTCTTTAAGGGTACTATATGGTTCTATAACAGGGTCCCCTTTAGAGGTTCTCTTACGGGTTCCTTTAAGAGTTCTTTGAGGGGTGTAGGGTGTAGGGGCTTAGGATTGAGGAGGGCATTGAGTTCTTCGGCCCTAAACCCTAAACCCAAAACCTAAACCGTTAAACCCTAAACCCTCAAAGGGTTCGGTAGTGTTTTGCCACAGAGCATCCCTGAAGTGCCCATTTTCAACGCATCCTGCAGAGTATCTTTGGAATGCCTACCCTAAGCCCCCACACCCTGAACCTTAAACGCTGGACCTTGAACCATTTTCAACCCTATACTGAGCCCGAGCCCAAAGCCCGAAACTAAACCCCCCTTCACTCTTGTACTCATTCCTGCAAGCCTCTCGCACCAGCACACGAATTCCAGAATCGCTTTCTTCTGGAGATCTTCGAAGCATTATTATTAGCATTATTCGTATTATTGTTATTATTATTGTTATTATTATTATGATTAGTATTATTATGATTATTATTATTATTATGATTCTTAGTATTGTTATTATTATTATAATATGGTTCTTCTTCTTCTTATTATTATTATTACTATTACTATATGGTACTATTACTAGATGTTACATATTTGTTGAACGAATGGGTTTTCGTCGGGGCTTCATGGGCATTAGTATGGCTTCGAGACACTCCCCTGTTTGATCGCGGAATACTCCAAGATCAGGAATGAAGCACTATACCTTAAACTATACCTTAAACTGTGGGGCTACACGGGTGTATTGGGCGCTTTGGTTGGAGGGGTTGGCGGCAAAGGGATTTGTGCTGACACTTCTGAACAAAGGGCACCTCCATTGCACCAGCAAGATCATTCAGCAATGTAAGATGTTCTCACTATCCTTGCACCACACACAATTTAAGATAACACCATAAAATGAATTACAAGCCATGTCATACAACCCAAATACAGCATAATAGACCATAAAAAATGTCATACAGTATACTACATTGTAACATAATACAATACAATAGGATACTGTAATATGATATAACATAGTATGATAGAGTATAATACAACATAGTATAGCATAGTACAATGTTATATAATACCATACATCACAGCATAGTATAAGATATAATATATACTAAGACTACACAGCATAGTACTCTTTGGGAGTACGGGAGTGAAGAGTTTTGAGCTCAGAGCTGCCAAGGGTCGGCTTCGAGGGACCTGTGCCTTCGCCGATGTCTCGCCCGGGACACGCCGACGAGGACAAGCAGCCCAGCTGCAAGCCAGGGCAGTCGGGGAAGTCGTAGATCGTAATTTTATTTATGTTCTAGCCTACCATCGTATACCATAGTCATCCACTGTGGGTCTACTGTGAGGTGCCCTCCGTCGCCTGATTTGACGGGCCAGGAGGCGAGAGTGGACCTCGAGCACGGAAGACAGGACCCGAGAATTTCATTGGAAGAGCTCCGAATTGAAAGTCCAGAACCTAGAGACTGCAAAGACGAAACTCGTACTTTGACACCAAGCTCCGAAACCAGCCCAAACCCTAAACCCCCAACTCCTTCGCCCTCAACCCTAAACCCTAAACAACCCTAAACCCTAAACCCTAAACTTCCTAAACCCTAAATAAAACCCCCCAATGCGGGGTCGCTGCCTTCCTGAAGGAGCGGGGCCCATCGAGCGAAGAGAGCCGGAGGCCGAGGAGCCAAAAGTCAGCGAAAGGGGTGGTTTTAGGGGAGTTTAGGGGTTTTAGGGGTTTTAGGGGAGTTTTGGTGGTTTTAGGGGTTTATGGGGTTTAGGGTTTAGGGTCGCGAGGGTGAAGGGCCTTGGTTTTGAGTGTCCGCAGGGAGTCGCGGCATGTCCCGTTCCCGGTCGGATCCTTCCGTGCTGCCAAAGGAGCGACAACGACAGCGCATTGCGCCGCCGACGGAAGAGTTCGTTACCTGCGGATGTGAGGCGAGTGAGGTAGGCGACGCCTTTGAATGGAATCCTCTAGACAGTCATAGGCAGAGGCGAGTCTGCAGAGACATGGCCCGAGTGGCGAAGAAGAGCGATTCTGCACAAACAAGTGGCTACCAGGGTTGAGCGGAGGCTACGGATGGCTAAATGTTGGCTGTTCCCGGTAAGGTTTTCGCTGCTGTGCCTGGCACCCCTTCGCAATCCACCATGTCTCCACACCGTTTTTGCATGCATGACTTGCGTGTCAATGCACTGTGAGAGCGCAGCTGGGTGTTCTAACTCCAAAAAACCGTGGCTCACAGCGGCACCACCGTGGGGCGCTTGTGTTTTTCAGGCTCCCAAAAGCCATGGCCCACCTGTCGGCGCCGGCGTTTGGGAGCGAATATACGGCCTGCGCGGCCCTGGTGTTGGCGCACTGGCATGCGACGAAGGCGCAGCGTTGAACTCCCCCTGTCCCCCCCAAAAGGGCCTCCCATTCTTGCTGCTTGAGCTGCTGGCGGCTGGCAGGTGGACTTGAAGTACGGGCTTTCGCAGCTCCTCCACTTCGCGAAAGACTGGGCCGGAGCCTTGTGCAGATGCCCCTCTTGCATCGGGGGTCCATCGTTGGGGATCGCCGTTTGCCGCCCAGGTTTGCGGAAAGTCCGGTCTCAGCCCCATGGCGGCCCGCGTCGAGGAGGAGAGCAGGGTTTGCAGAGGGACTTTCCGGGTTCTGAGGGATTTCACCCATTGATACCTACTGTTGGACAATGACGGTTATAGGGCGGACAGGCAGCCGAAGCTGTAGCAGATCTAGCTGTGACGTTGTCGGCGTAGGTTCGCATCCACAGTTGCGTGTTGCCTTGGAGCAGTCATGTGATGGCGTGCGTACACAGGTTTCAATCAATGCTTCGAGCCCACTTGGAAACGGCAAGTCTGAGGTCGCATGCTTAAGACCGGAGTGTTTCAAGTCTAAGTTGGATTTCATGTTCTGGAACTAAGCACAGTTCTGGGGCCCACCACACAACTGGTTGAGTGATCTCTCAGCCCTTGCATTGGGCATGTCATACTCCAAGTTGTAGCATCTCCGCCATGAACCTCCGGAATGAGATACAGCATACACTCGCCAGGAGCTGATGCGTCTGCGCTTGAAGGTGTTGACGCTCTTCTTCCGGCTCATCATCCATTTAATGCTTGTCACGACCCTCTTTGAGACCTTCGAGTTCATCCGTGCACCCCAGCCGGAAGGGGCGATCCGCTGGGCCATCGGCGTCTCTATATATCTAATGGTCGGCCTTCTCAACACGAACCGCTGGCCTCTCACGCCTTCGCTCCTGGTCCCTTTCCGGATAGTGCTCTGGATGTTGGTTCTGGTTCTCCTCGCATTGAGTGGCTCTGGCCATAATGACATACTGGAGCGGCACGGTTTGTGCCAGGCGAGTCAGCTTCTACAGACAATCCTCTTTCCCGTTGGCACCATGACTATGTTGCAGACCGCATCCTACTTTGTGGTTGACACCTGGGCCAAGTGGCAGGTGTTCGACGAACTAAATCCACGGCTGGTAATGTCTGCATGTGTCCAGGCTTTAGTATACATGGCCATACCACTCTTTTTCGACTTCGCGGTTCGGGAATGGATTGCGGCATCGTTTCAGTCGCAAGACTCGGACTCCTTGATTGCGGGCTTTCGGCGGATGCTGAAGGGGATCTGTGATGGAGAGCTGCTACTGGACGGCAACTTCCAGATCTGCGGCACAGCGCCGTGCCTGCAACGACTCCTGTCAAGCAGCGAGGACTTTGCCGGACGCAGCTTTCCGGACCTTTTGGTCGATGATGACGCGAGGAAACTGCTCAATGACTTCCTGGCACCGGCCGCAGCCACGAGCGATGCGGACGAAGCAGAGGGCGGCAAGCGCTTGCCATCCGGCGAAGGCGCAGCCCCGCGCTGCCTGCGCGTGCCTCTGCGGGCCCCTTCGGGTCAGGCGATTTCGGTGGACGTCTTCCACGTCTCGCTGCCGTCTACTCTCTACGGCGAGAGCACCAGCTACCACCTGCCGCTTGGTTACGTCGTGTCGGATGTCTTGCAATCTGATGCCGTGAAGTGCTAAGGCTTGCCCTGAAACAGGATGTTGATTCCATGCCGCCCCCAGAAGCGCCTCTCTTGCATTGTGGGGTCTCTTCATGCGTAGCCTAATGTTCCCGACGGAT